GTGACAAGCGAGGGCTGCCCTCCTTCCTGTGCCATACCAGGCCACATGCCCTCGGCATTGAGAGGGTGTTTTTCCAGGGGCCCCCCTGAAAAAGCACCTTCTCCCCATGCCGATGAGAGCAAGGGCCTCTTCCGGAACAACCCTGACCCACTGCGGGCAGGGGGTCTTATTTGCATCGGGGTATCCCCTTTAATAAAGGGGGCATCCGAATGCTTCCCCTCCCCTTGTGGGAGTAAGGGGTACTTGTACCCCTACTCATTCACTAAAGGGTTAAAGTAAAATCTAAATAAATACACCAAACGTTTAGAAAAAATCCTCTAATTAAAAAAAAAATACATTAAAAGTTTTTGACAAGTCCTGTACTAAAAAAATAAAATTTACAAAAATTGATCCAACAACGTAATCCAAAGGTCAATCACGATATCCAGAGTTGTCCACGACGACGCCGACTCGCCAAAATAAAAAAAAAAACTGAGGCCCGCCAACCCGTCCGCACCCGATGAACTCCAGCTGCAAAATGAACAATTTGACAGATGCCGGCCAAATGTCAACAGATAGGGGGAGCTAGCGGTGATATCACCGCTGGCTCCTCCTATCTGTTGACATTTGGCCGCGCCTGTCAAATCGCTATTGCAAGTTCCAGCTAAATGGAAACAAATGGGCGGAGTCGGCCGTGACGTCACAGCTGGCTATGCCCATTTGTTGTCATACAATGACTGGCTACTGTCCTTAAATTACATTTTACTTTAACCCTTTATTAAGTAGGGGTACAAGTACTTTATGAAAGGCGGTTCCATGATGCAAATAAGCCCCCCTGCCCGCAGACCCCCACAACCACCTGGTCAGGGTTGTGGCAGAAGAGGCCCTTGGCCAGCATTAGGACAGGGTGCTTTTTCAGGGGGGACCCTCAATGCTGAGGCCTGGTATGGCGCAGGGAGGTGGGGGGGGGGCGCTCGCTCGTCGTCGTCCCCTTTCCTGCCCTGCCAGGCTTGTGCTCGGATTAAGGGTCTGGTTGGGAATTTTAGGGGGGACCCCATGTTTCCCCCCCCATTTTTTGGGGGTGGGGTTTCCCCCTAACATTCCTACCAGGCCTAAATGGACTTTTGGGGGGAACCCTAAGGAATTTTTTAAAACTTTGTAACTTGGGGTCCCTCCTAACTTTTCTACCAGACCTAGAGGGTCTGGTATGGATTGGGAGGGGGACCCCGCGTCGTTTTTTCTCTTTCTTTTGTTTACATTTTTTTTATTCTGCTCGCTACCTCTAAAGTAGCAAGCAGAATAACCAAGCCAATGACGCCGACAATAGGGGCGAACGGCAGTGAGTGAACTGCCGGGCGTCTGGCTCAGCCGATCCAGATGTTGGATCGGCTGGATCAAACGGGTTCTTCACTTCGGCTCAGCCGAGAGCTGAAGCCAGCCGTACTTGGCTGAAGTGAATAGCCGAACGACGTTCAGCTCCCTTCACTTCGGCAGCTCAGTGAATAGCCCCCTCAGTTTTAGCTTTCATTCTCTAAACTGGGAAAGGAAATAATGGTTATATAATAAAAGATATACTATACACTCCTAAGCATTAATTTTGCAACAGAACTTCTATATAGCATCACTTAATTTGACCAGTATAGCATATAGATAATTGTAAATCTGGAAACCAATATTACCAGGCAGTGAACAAAGAAACTAATTTCATGCTGCCATTTAAGGAGTGACCAGAAGATGGCAATACAGCAGAGCCTAACACATTCGTGCAGCAAATATGAGGAAACATTCATCAGCAGCAAGATAAGGTTTACAAGAAAACCTTAAGGCAAAGCGGTACTCAGGAGCATCCAAACAGTATAATTTCTAGACACTAAAGAACAACCATCAGAAAAATAATTACATTAACCGTACAGCCACAGAAAGTTCTGGGATAGATGAAATGTTATTGTGCAGCTAAGGGGTGGCAGACAGCCAGGGGGTACCAAGTCACTGCAGGTGGGCAGTGGTATGAGACAGGATGAATGGTAGGAAAAAGAGCATGCAACTGATATACTCCAGCAACATTTATTTTCCTTAGCCTTAACTCTTTCCACCTTGAAGCGGGAAAAGGGTACCAACTGTGAGGTAGCTCCTGGTGTTCCAGCCAGGCCAGCCTTACTAAGTGAGCCATCTGAGACAGGGTCACTTTAGAGACTGCGCCAGACTCTGCATCCAGAAAGCACTCTATTGCTAGCTGACATAGTACACAAAGGTCTGGAAAGGGCCACAATGAAGAGCCCAGATGTCACATTCTGAGCTATCCCCGCAACCTTCAAGTTCAGCGAGGTCCAGGTAACGCTTCCAATGCTGCTGCTGAGGATATGCTGGTCTGGATAGCTGCAGATACTAGCTCAAGCAATGGAGTGGAAATCTTGAATAAAGTCACCAAATGAAACATTTTTAAGGGTGTATCAGGAATCTTGAATGAAGTAAAAAAAAAATAAGGCATCCAACCTCCAGAGACATGAAGGTTAGAGAATGCATTATATAAGGGCTGATTAAATGTTTTTTTGTTTGTCAGTGTTCTACATTCCTGCAGGTGGCAGAATAACCTGACTGTTTCAGAACTCACAAATTCCCGTGTCACCCAAGGGCCAATAAAGAAAACAGTACTCTGATGGCAGACTGACAGATCAATAATACATAAAACAAATCTAGTAAACACACTGCATATATCGTATCTTTATTACGTACTTGAATTCCAGGCTAGCATCAAAACAACAGCTTTCTAAAGCATCCAAAGATTTCATGATTATTAAGTTCATTTGTTGACCAGAGGTGTCACTGCAAGAAACAAATACAAGCACATTATATATACTGTAGCTGGCCATACACAGAAACACTTCTAAGAAGATTGAAAATAAATTATTTGCTGACACTATCTAAGTTAATGATAGTAACATACTTTCCAATGGTCTTAAGCAACCTGTATGATTATATAATGAGCGGTCAATGTACACTATGACTTAGCAAATATCTAGATAACTGGTATCTACTCTACATGATCACTGTAAAGGCGGATGACTGTCTGCAAAAAAATGATTTTCCAGCCAGTTCCATATTCATTTCAATATTATCTTCTAAAAAATATGTGTATGTCTTTATGTTGCATGTAACAACATGTAGACAAATAATACGTAGAGATATGCAATGCAGTCTCAAGCACATACAGTATATTGACTGGATTACCTAACATTATCATGGCTGTGATGGTACAGCTAGAGAAATCCATACCCAACATCTGCTTTTCCTTCTTCAGAAAACCCCATAGCTTAGTGTGCATTGTGGGAAAGTAATGAAAGTAATGTATGAGCATACATATGATGTACCTGACTTTCTCTTCACACAAACGAGAGATGAACATTCCCAGTGCCAGCCCCATGTGAACTTGGAGAGACTGCGACTCATCTGCCTCTGGCCTTCCAGGTAATCTAGTAGTCAGGATGCTGAGAATCTCCCCCACCTTTTCCTTAAAAGATACAACAAGCACTGGGACCAGCAAAGAGAGGGCGGTGGCAGCACAGGAACGGGCAATGACACTGGCTGTGTTCTCCCCAGAATAGGATTTCTACAACAAAAAAACAAAGTTCATATATATCATTCAACATTCAGCACTACTCAACTCCCAGCAAGCAGCTATACACACATCTGAAATACATACGTAGGAATCATTTTACGTTCCAAAGGCTTTGTAATGTTTGGTGTAGTCACGCTTATGATCCTAACACCACTACCAGAGGTATAACAAGGTCTTCGACCCCCTCTGCAGCAGCAACACAAGTTGGTCAAGAACACACCCTCAATCAGTGTACTGGGGAAAAAAAAAGGAGCAGCAGCACACTAATGAGTCATGAAAGTTGGCCTCCGGGAATAAAAAAAAAAAAATTACCCTTGCAGTGGGCCTTCCACACTGCAAGGTCTAAATGCTTACTTTTGCCTAGGGATAGAGGAATAAGCTGTAATACACTTAGTCCGGCAGTCTTCAGCGCTCTCCTCTTCTCCCTGACCCTCTGGGTTGTAAGCGGTCCAGTGTCATCCTTATTTACAATGCAAGACTATTGGCCTGCATTGTGATTGATGATGTTGGCATGTGACCACTGTTTGAGAGCGCCTTAAAGAAGGCTTCTGGGACTGGTTTCACATATGGAGGAAGCCTGCTGTAGCAAGGAATAAGGTAAATATTATACCTTATTCCTCTATTTTACTCTACTCGCTTCACTGTCTCTTTCTGTCAGCACCTGTAGACTGCAGCAAAGACTGATTGGCTCCTACTGCTGGCCCTCCCTTACACAGGAAGCTAATATCAAGGCATATCAGCAGCATTTAAAAACAAATGTAATACTTTGTAATGAATGAATACTTGCACTATTTTGTGTTTCTAATATCTGCATGTAGTTCATCTTTAATATCTGACAGATTCAATGACATACCCAGTTGTAAAAGCTCCGTAGGCAATTCTATAGTTATGAATTGAGTATTCAAAATGTGTGAATTTATATACTGAAGGAAGACACAAACAGATGTGCAATAAAAACTTAAAGGAGAACTATGAGGGGAGTGATTTTCACTCAACCTCATCGTTCGAGCCGACGTGTGACAATGAAACACGTCGGCTCAATAGTTCGGGAAGTGAGCGAACACATACCGTCGTTTGCTCACTTCTCGATCATGTCCCTGCAGAGAGCCGTGACTGTAACTCACGGCTCCCTGCAGGGATTCCCCCCTCCTCGCTCCGATCGCGAGCTGTGGCTCGCAATATACTGAGCTTTGGGTCACGGGAGGACACTAGTTTATGTCCTCCCGTGACCCTTAGGAGAACTATGGGGAAAAACACTTACCCCATCGTTCTCCTTTAATGATACGATATGGTATTTTTCACGTCACATTTCCATTTAAAATAAGTAGAAGTATGTAGTATAATTCTTTATTTTAAAAAAGATACAAAGGTGTAAGATGACATTTAAAAATACAAAATCTTTACTGGATAAGGTTGCATAGTGCCAAACAAGCAGCTGCCTGTTCAGCATTTTCAGAGCAGATAGAAAGCAGTGCTTCTCCTGGGAATCTAAAAGATAATGCAGCTTGTTCATGAATACGTGATAACAACAACAGTATAATATGAAATCAATGTGCATGACAAAGTCACTGAGCAGCAGGCATTAGCTTTGTACTCTCAGCAGACTCAAAGCCAGCACACAGCTCATGGCAGGGCAGGAGGTAACATTGTGCTGACTTGACTGCATTCATGATGCATCATCCTCAGAGGTTTCCAGCACAGCTCAAGAATTCTTCCGTTGTGTTGCTATTTTTTAGCATTCAATTTATTTTAAAAAGGTCATACAATACAGCTAAGCATACTAATAAACACATATAATGTACACACATACAGTGTGCAAAATATACATAAAAACATCGAAAAGAAATAAATCACCACAACATAGTAACACAGAAACAAAACATATATTAAACCCAAAGTGTTACAAAAGCCAATATATGCATACTAATTAGTAATCAAGCGCACTATACCTTAAGGGCCCATTCACAACACATCCAGATCATCTCCACACCACACCAGATTGTTTCCAGACCCAAATTGCATCCTAATGTATCCCTATGCTATTTCCGGCCTCTGTTCACACCAGCGCAGTCTGTTCCAGACTGCATGTCTCATTTTGTCTGGTCTGGAATGCATGGAAACGCATCAAAAACGCACAAAAAATACACAAACACACTGGAACGGGCTTGAAAGCCTATTTTAAGCTAAAGAAAAGCAAACAAAAAACAGCTCCGGAAAGCAGCAAAATCGCAGCAAAACACAATGCGCCGCGTTCCAGATCTGGTCCAGAAAATGGTGTGAACCTAGCCTAAAGCAACACTGTCAGGTTAAGAAAAAACAGTCAGAGGACATGTCCCTGCAAGATACATTGGGTGGAATTTATCCAAACTGGAGCAGACAGAATCTGGAGCAGTTGCCTAGGGCAACCAATCATCTTCTCTCTCCAGTTTGTTCAGTTAAGATTTGAAAATGAAAGGAGAGAAGCTGATTTGTTGGCATGCACAGCTGCTCAAGATTTTGTCTGCTTCAGTTTTGATACATTCCCCTCATTGTATTCATCTCTCCAGCAGCCCATATATTCTAGCTTGTCTTGTTCCAGTGCTGCAGCCTCAGTAAGACTCTTTGGCATTCAACACTTCTGGGAGTGTTGGATACCAGTGCTCCCCTACTACAATTTAATTATCCGACCCACATGTTATTGCTATGTACTGTAAAGATGTATGGATCAGAAGAAGTGGCTCTGCGCTTCAACTTTAGGGCTCATCTCTAGTTGCATTTATGTACTCTTAGCTTATTTTTTTAAGTGTCCCATTGAAATCCCAGAGAGTTCTATTGGACAGTCCCTCCTGTTCTCAGTGTACTCAGCTCCTTTAGGGTGACAAAATGTGATATAGGAAGGACAATCTGAAATGTATTATTGGAGTGAAAAAGAGCCGTAAAAGTGATGCACACTTAATGTTAACAGACACAATCCTTTACCTTAACCCTGGATATGGTCCTTTCCTAAAGAACATGGTATATGTAAACCCAAAAATCCCACATAAACTTTACCATGTAATTCCAAAAGTTGTTTTAAATCTTTTCAAATCGGCAGCCTTTATTAAAATAATACCTAGTAATTCTGCCATGAAAGTCCTTGTTTAACCGCCTGCGGACTGGCTACTGTTTAAAAACGGCCGGTCCCTTGGCGCATTGTTCCAGGAGGATGTACTGGTAAACGAGTGTGTGTGTGTGCACGCAAGGCCGTGGACACTGATGTCAATAGACAGCGGAGAGCCGCGACTTTATACACAAAGCCAATTAGACCAACTCTGCATCCTGTGATCTCTGTGATTGGTTATCACAGCAATTACATGAGATTATCCAAGCCCTCCCCTTCCTCTTACATCAGAAGCAGGGGAGAATAAAGTGAGTCATGAATGGTTGAGTCACCACTATTATCCTGCACATCTATACATTTACCCCTTCATCTCCCTCTTCCCTCTGTCTATGACCTGTACATTTATTGTATCTTGTACACTATCAAGCTCCATGTTTTAGCCCCCTCAATACCGGCATGGTTCATCATTTCCAAAAACCTGCAGCAAAAAATCAAACCACCTTTTAGTGTCTACTATCCAAAAGGTGTCATTTCAGGGATTTTCATACTGTCCTGACATTTTTATTTGCTATGATTTATAAACAAATGTAAGAGAAACAGGCTTATTTAATATGTTTTTACTTTATATAGTAAAAAATAAAAAAGTGGTAATTAAATATCCAATTTAAGAAAGCTCTATTTGTCTCCCCAAAAATTATATACAATGTATTTTGCTACATTATTGTGTGACAGAGGAAACTCGCACAGTGCTGAAAACTGAAAACGGCCTGGTAATAGAGGTGGGTGTAACATGCCAATACTGAAGTAGCTAAGCACTTTCAGTTATAGGGTGAAAATATTCTCTCCCTGTCCCACAACTGTACTCCTGTATTGTCAATTGAGCTCCAGTTGGAAAATACAAACAGTTGTGGTGACACAAAGTATGCAGCCATTGTCCACCATTATCAGTATCAGGAAGACATTCCAAAGCAATAATGTGCCGTAGACACTGGAACAGGTGCATGCAGACAAAAAAGTGACTAGAGAAGATCAGCAGTCCTAGGATATAAATAAGAATAGAAAAAATAAAAGCAGGCTTTATTGAAACAAAAGCTTTAAGAAAAGAAAGTTGGATAACAGTAAAAACCTATGTAGGTCAGATCAAAACTGAATTTCTTCAAAGGCCACTCATACTCAGGCCTGTAAAGGCAAAACATACAGGGTAGTGATAAGTAGTGTAAGCCTAAATGGTTCAAAATAGACAACAGGAAAGTATAACTTTGATGACATTTTAAACTACCCACAATATATCATACAAAATACTGCTTATGCATGGAATTGTGCAGCCCCCACTTTTTCTGACCACAGGAGAGGTTGATTGAAAGTGCCATAGACTGCAGTTTTTTTAAAGAGACACTGTCAACTTGCCCATTCAAAGCACAGTGTCTGTAAAAAAGCTCATCTCCAACTTCTGTATACTCACTTCTCTAGCGCTTGCCAGCCGCTCCCTCCTGTGCCGCAGCCATCATCTAAATAGCTAGCATTGGCTAGTGTCAGAGCCTAAAGGAAGCCCCTTCTGTTATTGTGAGAGTGCTTGGCCTAGCAATTGGATGCTAGCCCCAAGCACTGAATTATGGGAGGAGGTCGCGTGCTCCCCCAGACCCAGGAGCACTGGGTATTTTGCAGTAGAAGCCAAAAAGGAACGAGCTGTGAGGGAGCACGGGAAAGACGAGTATAATGTGTTTGGGGGTTAGCGTTAAACAGACTTCGCCTAAATGTATTTTTTATGTTTATGTGAAAGATATCAGGTTAATGTGATCTTGTAAAATTCCAAAGCATTCACATAAAACTTTGTTTTTGCATATGCAATGCAAGCAGTACTTGTTTTGTAGTGGGGCACAATGCTAGGGCTTGTTGATCCCTTTTATCCCGA